CTTGTATATATGACAGGTGAGGCGGTATCAGCTGTCAAATATTGGAATCTGATATTGAAAAGCAAGGTAACTATGGCAAATTTTGATGAAGTAAGTATCGATTTCTACTAAGTCGACCAAGGTAAATCGAGAAATGTAAACCATTTTGACATCTGTCAAACCCCTGCCAAACGGCCGCACTCGTATTTTTCAGTTTTCAATATATCATAATGTGTCATTTGACAGGTTTAACTTATGTAAATTCTGAGTTCAAAACTTGAAACAAAAAAAAAATACAGAACTGTCAAAATCTGTCACTTGTTTGAGGTAGTGAAAAAAAAAATCCAATTGGGCTCGCTCCGTTTAAAGGTAAATCATTGATGATGCCTAAAACATTAAACAAAGCTCATAGACATCAAATTTTGACAGCTGTCAGAATTTAGTTAATTTAGTTCGGTTCCAATTATTTAAGTTATGCCTATTTATGATAAAGCATGAAAAAAACTTATATGCAGGTTTCATATTTTGACAGCTGTCAAAATTTGATGTTTATGAGCTCTGTTTAATGTTTTATCACCCATAAAATACCTTAAAACAAAAAAGAGCCAGACATGAATATTTTTTCCTACTAAAATAAATGACAGGTTTTGACAGTTCTGTAATATTTTTTTTTTTCAATTTTTGAACCCTGAATCCACATAAGTTAAAAATGTCAAATGACATTTCATGAAATATAGAAAACTGAAAAATGCGAGTGCTGCCGTTTGGCAGGATTTTGACAGATGTCGAAAAGGTTGACATTTTTCAATTTACCTTGGTCGACTTCGTAGAAATCGATATTTACTTCATCAGAATCTGCCATAGTTACCTTGCTTTTGAATATTAGATTCCAATATTTGACAGCTGATACCGCCTCACGTGTCATATATACAAGGTTGCGCCCCGGGTAAAAAATGTTATTTACGGCATCTCCAATAACTAGGGAATGTAATCCCGCAAGATAATTCCAATCCCGGTATTTGCGGGACTAGACATTTCCAATACTACGGGATCCAGGTATTTGCGGGATCCCGCAAAAATGTTTTTTGGCAAATAAATCATAATATAGTACCACATTTAAAGGGTTTTGACTAAAATTGGACAAATATCAAGTATCAGATTATTTAATAATGTTTTTCAAAGATAATTAAACATTATTTTAAAAGATTAACACAAATAAGTCAGAAGATATTTAAATATTATTTTGGAAATAACTGCGCAGACGTTCTGTCGTTTTATTTTTACACAACTTGCATTCTACAGGTTAACAAAATTCACCGAGAAATTTAATCTTTTGAGTATGTATTCAAAATACATAGTTATCATTATGTCAGAAACTGAGTAACTCTGTTCAAATCGAAATGAGAACGATTCCAGAACCAGTAATTTCAATTATTTTCAGTTGCCCACCTATTTTTCTATGAGTCGAACGTTTATCCTACTTGACAAATGGATTGATCGACTGAAAATTACCGTTCCAGAACGGTTCTCATGTCGGTTGGAACAGAGCTACAGTTCCCGACATAATGATAACTTTTTAAACTTGAATACCTACTTAAAAAGGGAAATTTTGTTAACTTTACCACAATTAAGAATTCGTTGCACTGCGACAGCTACACGTGGTTAATAAAAGTTGGATTAGGGCGAGGAAGTTTCTCCCAGTCTCCTCACCACGATCCGTCGTCCAGTTTGCGCGTACCAGGCGAGTGACACCAAAAAGTACAGTTCTTATCAATCCCGCAAACCCACAAATTACAATATTGTCCTTATACTTTATACTGCTTTCCACAACTCTTATGGTAAGAGGACTGACAAACTAGACAGTTATACGATTCTTTTACTTCTTCTTTACAAAATTTGCAACTTTTAACCAATTTATCACTGGACATTGAAAAATAATAGTAATACTCATGCAAGTAACATAACCTCGAGTATACTAGGGTCCCTTAATACGTACCAAATTTTTGAAATTGAGCATCACTGCTATGTTTACTACCTCTATAATGACAGAGGTCACCTGACTCGATTTTTCCTCAAGAAAATTGGAAAAAATCTCTTTTCCAACAACTTGACATGACGTCATTTTTCCAGCTTCTTGGTGTAGGTATAGGAATTTTGTTGAGTCATCATTAGGGCTTTCCAGAATATATATGATTTTCGGTTTTATAAGGAAAGTATCATTCAGGGTCCTCTCATGCTGTCTGACTGTTAGATAATCGATAATCGACTTGAGATTTCGTGTAGGTTGAACCCATGTATAGTGATGTCTATCTTTGTGTGGACAGAAAAACCATTGGTTATTCTAAGTTCTGTTTGTTAATTGGCACATCTCTATAAGTTTTTCATCATTTTACAAACATTCAATTTGCTTTCCGCTTCCCTCATAAAATCTAATTAATAATTATTCATTCCAATTAAAAATTCAAAGAATAAACTTTCCGCTAACAAAATTTATGTACTACGAATATTAGCGACTTTACTGTATTTCATGATGCGAAAGAGTTTTCCTGGAATTGCTAATTCGAAAACTTTCCAAAGTTTCTTTTGCGAAGTGAGGAAAAGGATGAAACTTAGATTTGTGCCCTTTCATTTTCCGAGACGCTTCAAGCGTATGAAAATAACTATTAATTAGGAGATTTATTAAACTTTTTCGGATGAAAGATAATGGAATAAATAGTTGCTTTCATTTATCCAACATGCTTTCCCTACAGTGAAACAATAATTACCCTCTGGCTCTAAAATTACATAACATATTTATTAACAAAATTTAGTTTGCATTTCCCACGCATATCTATTATGCATTGCTGGTTCTATATTTGTAAATATTAAAATATCCGCCTCTATTTTCCCAAAACAGGAAATTATAAATTGAAAAACAATGTTATGCAAATTGAAATTGACACGGTGCTGTTGTTGGCAGTGGCAAAATAAATCGGAAGATGATGACAGGAAAGACAGCAATCATAGTGCGGATATTTTTACAGTCGAAGCAAATGATAGTGATGAAGGTAAGAAACCAATTCTTTATGATTTAATCTAAATAAATACCGTTTGACTCTCAATTTCTTGATTACATGTAGTAATTTGTAATAGAAAAGCTTATTTGATAAACTTTTATAGTAAAGGTTTATCAAAGACGCTGCAAGTTTCATTGAGCAATAAAGTCTGTCATAAACGAGGTATTATTCGGAAATTGTGGGATTTTGATGTCATTATTTTGCATTTTATGGCTCAAAGCATTACATTGGTAACTTCAAGTATTATATTTGATTACCTAATCTAAAAAACTGTTACTATTTATTAGGGTATGACTCGCATTTAATTGTTGTGGGCGAAATAGGGTCAAATCTGTATAGGAACAATTATTGTTGGCTCATACGCCACTAAAACAGTAATGGAAACTGGAGAATGTTGAAATTGCTTTTTCTTGAAAGGATATGGCAATTTAAAAAGTAATGGTCCTCGAAATTGATACGCAAGTGGGGTGAAAATTTCTTAAAGAGGTGTGTTATTGATTGCAAATTGATTTCAAGAAAAAGTTGAAAGTTTGTATGACGTTGTTGGTTCAAAACTGAATATAAATAAATACATTGAAATAATTTGTTTGGTATACCTATCTCAAATTAACGGCCTGGAAAACCAGCACAATTAACTACCATTTTAAAATAAACAAATTCTCGCTTAATGCAGTTTTAATTGAAGCATTCATCGCATTTGAAAATTTCCATCTTTTAAATAATAAAATAGAGCCGGTCATGGATAATTCAAAGCACACATACCCATTGTTTGACAATGAACGTAATTAAGTATACGAATCGTATTTCTAGTAAATTCAACAACCGGAGCTGAAAATTATACACTGACCTGAACCGGAAAACAAAGCGGAGTCATTAAAGCCAGCCCGCAAGAGTCAGGAATATGCGGAACATGAATAAAAGGGCCCCTTTAGCAATCGGACCGTTGGAATTTGCATGCTCGGGACACCTGATACACTTTACAGACTTTTTGGAATTTATTCTGCTGGAAAATTTTGTCAGCAGTAATTTATATTCTGGGTTTACTTAATGTAATGAAAAACTGGAAGACTAGGAGAGAAACAAGTGAAATATTTCTCGTCTTTGCTGCTGAGGAAATATAAATAAAGATAAATAGGCAAACGTTAGGAAAGCATATTCTTTTTAATTTTCTTACAAAAATAAATTGTAATACGTCAACAAGGATATGGGAACGCTGTTCGGAAAGGGAGCCATTTATTTTCTTGCTCTTCATATAACTTCAATAGAGAATATTTTTCAAATAAAATCTAGCAAAATTAAATCATGCACAAAAGTTAATCGTAAGCTGTGCAAACATGATCCTTCAACGAAAATGTTTGAAGTAAGCTCGGAGAAAATTCAGCCAAGCATAATGAGAATAACGTACGGGTGCTCAACCGTAAATGCGCTCCTTTGTGCCTGCGATTATAGAATAATTTTTATTTTCTAGACCTTGACTTGTTATAGGAACTTTCTAAGTAGTGTCTAATATCAGTTATAACGAATGAAGGTTTAACTAAGGCCCAGTTGTACAATCTCGGTTCAAAACAAAGTTCAGCTGAACTCGACTAGTACTTGAGCTTTCTCATTTCAAATACATTGCTGTCAGCTATTAATCAAGTTCTATCATTTTTGACAGCAATGCATTTCAAATGGGGAAGTTCAAGTACCAGTCGAGTTTAGCTGAACTCTGTTTTGAACCAAGATTGTACAACTGGGCCTAAGTACACTAGAAAACCAACGTCAAAAATTATTTTCTGAGAACAGATGAAAAAGGCCTTCAAGGTCCGAGCTTTCTGGCTAAAATTAATCAGGGAAGTTTTAAATTTTCGGATTTTCAAATTGAATCAGTTATTCAACTTTCGATAGCTTAGTGAGAAAACTAATTGACATTTTCCAACTTTTAACAATTGGGTCCTTTTGAAGCCAGTGAAGCGACCCTATAATCTCTTTTCAATTTTTTTTATTCAAACACAACATAAATCCTATCTTAGGAACTAAACGGTACTGAAATTGGAAGGAATGGTGACATTAGTTAACGCATTATGCGTTGCGGCTAATATTTCGTTTGGCATATTAGTTTCAACTTGCTCATCAATTCCTGCTTTTTCTCTCGGTGGTGGATAAGTTGTTGTACTTTCTTTGGTTGTTGCACTCCAATCGTAGAAAATCGGGTTATCTCCTGATAACCACAAGTACAATTCTAAACCCAAAAGGATGAGGAAAAACGGCACTGACACTAGCAAGACGTAGTTCAGAGCGCTGAAAAATATAAGAAACAAATTTGTTTGTACATATGCTTAAATATCTATATAATTTTGATTTGCAAAGATTGTAGCCTCAATTTTCATAGAAAATCTTAAAAGTATGCTCACAAGTGCAAATGCAAGATTGTGGATCGGTTTAAATGCCATCAAATGAAATGAGTGGGTAACTTACTGGGATAAATCTTCGGGACTAGGTTGCTCCCATTTGAAAAACGGTTTTCTTGTTTTAGTTTGTCGATAAGATGTGGGAATAATGACCTTTCCTTTAGCCATTTTGACTCTAGTAATTGATAGATGTCAACACCATGTCAACACAACAACGTAGACGCACGTTAAAGCTGGTACTAAATTGAAAATCAGTAGAGAATCAAAAGTTCTTTAGATGAAATAGTTTTACTTGAATTGTAGAAAACATGAAAAAAAAACAAAATTATATTTCTTCTGTAGTTCCTTTGCATAGTGATTTAGATGTTAAATCTCATTTTAGACTTACTAAGACTGTAGTGGAGGTAAGATATTAAAAATAAAATTACCTCTGAGACAATCAGGTGAGCTTTAAGAACTCACAAAACACGATTTGATATTTCAGATATATTTCTCACTTGTTACAAAATTAATTTGGCGCTCTTATGCTCAGAGCTCTTAGGTCTGGTATGGTTCTCACACCCTTCAGAACACTTGATCAGGCCCTTTTCCCTTTTTTTTTTGTTAAGGTCGTCGCACATCTTCACATAATAAGTGAATACAAATGCAAAACAAAAGGATACCAGTCGGCCATCAACAACCATAATTTTGAGCTTACATTTTACGTTATAATTCATCAGTTCATCCTAAATGAACCTCGATGAATTCGATGGCTAATAAGTGTAAGATGAGAATAAAACCAGACCGATGAAATCCATCGATGTTTTACTGATGAGAAAAAAACAGCCAATTGACATTTTCACTTAATCGATGGAAATAAAAACGCACGCTGTCAGTTGAAAGTGTAACGCTCTTTTGTCGGAACAAAAGAATGCTCATAATTTTGCTCGAGTATGCTCAGTGGTTCTTTAGCTTGGGGTGGTCCTTGGTGTTGGTACAGTAAAGGGAGTAAAGAGCTTACGTAAGTGTTGAAAATAACATTTAATTTTTGACTGAAAGTCAATCGAATCATCAAGGCGGAAAGATAATAAATAATCCCTAGGCAGTTTTAAATATCAAAGACAGGCTATATGAAATCAAGGGTATCGGGGAGAGCCATAGAAAATTTTAAACAGTGGTTAGCTACTAAACACTACTATACGGTAAACAATCTAAGTCGGTAATTTAATCTACATAGATATTAATTAGCTAATAAAGCTAAACGATAGGGGGCGATAAAGAAAAGGTAAAAATAGAGATATGGAAGAGTTATTGGTTAAAATAGAAAGGGGTCCATCCTGCGCAACTGGCCGAATTTGAAGGACAGACATTTTTATCACTTGTCAAATTTGGATTTGGAAAAATAGGTTATGAACAACTCATAACTCCAGAAATGTACAAAAATAAGCAGAAATAACAAAAAGAAATCTTTTAAAACACCACTCCGATAAAAATATATATAAACAACAACAATTTGTAACCGTTAGGTTAGGTTGTGAAAAATCTGTCAGATTGAAGTTGTCAACGTAAAAACTAATAGAGTTTTCGATTGGTAAATTTAATGCGCATAGAGTGTATTTTCATCCTTTTTCATCAACCTGTAGAAATAAAAGACAGAAATAAAAAAAAACTGCACTAGATCTACCAATCGGAAACGGCATAAGTAAAAACTAGTAAAAAGTGATAAAAATGGCGGCCCCCTATGCGTTACCAATAAATCGGATGCGCAGTCGTCTAAGCGCATTCTATTTCCCTCACATATCTCTGGGTAAAAATAAGTGACGGTAGGCACGTTTAAGACACCCATAGGTAAGTAATTATATGAGCATGCACGGAATCCTTGTAAAGCCTCGGAAGCTTTCACAAATTTGAGCTCTGGAGGTACCAAACTGGCTGGAGACAACCAAATAATGGTTGGGGATCAACTTCTTATAGGACACAAACTTTCCTCGAAAAAGGGGCCCAGATTTGCTCCGAGTTTTCAGGACAGCGTGGTCTCAAATTCAATTTTCACTTGGAGAAGTGCAGGCACGGATTTTTCGTCCTGTCGAAGGTGCCTGAATGAATTGAGGGGATATAAGGACTCATTCATCGGAAAGAAAAAGAAATTTACATACCTGAACGGACGATAATAACCTCACTTTCGAAAATGTTCACAAAAATCAACAATCGATTGATTTTCCAGGAAACTTTCTTTCTTTTTTTTTCTTAATTTTCAATAATATGGACTCGATGGCCAAAAACAAAGATAAAGTTTTAAGATTTTTAAAATTCTAAAAATCTGGACGACCTGTTCGGTCCCACAACAAAAGAGAAAAAGGCAAATCAAAAGTACCCAAATTGGTTCTGTCTTTTCTTTCTTAATCTGTCAAGTTCATCAAAATCAAGATTCAAGTTACTGGTTCTGCAAACATTAGACGATCTCTTGCAAGAAAAGAATACATCAACATCATCGAGAGTTCTGTGTCTTCTAATGACAGACAGGCTAGCGATTCTATAACATATTATTCTAATGTTTCATTATCAAACACATCAGCGGGCACTTCTACTTCTATCAAAGACAGGCAGGCTAGAGATTCTTTAAGAATCTATTATTCATATGTATTGGAATCATACACGTCGCACATGTATAATAACACCAATAGTGCCTGGTTATGAAGCTACATCCAACCAAAATGATCCGTTGATGACTCAATGAAAATGTTTATGTATATTTTATGTTCGTTATTATTTTCATGTATAAATTTACTAATTACTTGCCTCAAAAATATAAGCAGTCTTTCCTCCACAGTAATAGCTCTTTGATACAATCTAACTACACTGCAGCCACGAGTTGCGCGCGCATGTCATCTTTTATTACTTTCTAACTTGTATTTATTACAATGAAGTTATATTTTTCTATTTATGCAAGATAAGTCTATTTGTTAATCGATGAAACTAGTGCCAAGAGTCACGTGAAAGAAAAAAATTAAATATTAAATTTGACAATAGATGGACCATTTTCTGTGAATAATCCTCATAAATTTGACCTTCCTGGACCACCTTGAATCCACAAAATTAGCGGATTCTATTCACAATTATTTTCAGAAGAAAAAACAAGAAAAAACATATTAGCTCGAATAACTGGAGATACTTGCAAATTCAATTACATACTGTCGTTAAAATCACTGTGTGAATTTGTAAAATAAAACAATTTTCCATATAACTTATAAATTCTCTTTATTTTGAACTTATAGGCTGTCCTCTAATAAATTTATAAACCAAATCGTACGCAGCTTCTGGTTGATCTTTGGGTACCATATGGCCAGCGTCTCTAACCATTACCTCTGTCAAATTACCAGCATTTTTCACATATCCAGCTACTCTATTGCTTACAGTCCAAATTTCCCTCTCGGCCTTTGCGTATTCGGCACTGGAACTAAAATTCAAATTTTGCAGATACTCTGCCGTTAAGGAATAAGCAACAATAATGTCCAGTTGGCCGTTGAATACCAAAATTCTGTAGTGACTTAAAAGTTCACTAACCCAAGGAGCCACACTTTTCGGCTTATCGTTCGAGAGGCTCTCATAAACTGGGTCACTTTGATAATTGAACGTTTGATTTCCTACATGGAGGGCTTTTCTTATTTCAGCCGTTTGAACGAAATCTTGCCATTCTGTGGGGCTGTCATCCACATCCGAAGCAAAATTATAAATATTACGCAATGCAGTGTATTTGTCAAACAGTGTTCCAATGAGTTGATCTAAGCATTCATTTGCAAACTCATAAATTCCCATATCTATACTTTGAAATAATAAACTTTGATAATTTTCATACTGATCAGCTGCATTTTTATCAATCAAACCTAACTGGTAAAGTAAAGCTGCATAGTTAGATTGATGCCTTGGATCACTAAGGCCATTACAAATTAGAAGGCCTTTTAAATTAATTTTTACACTTGCTGTTGGATTATTTTTATGTATGAAGTGCCCAATGGCAGGCAGGTATTTCCCTGCATAGGATTCTCCCGAAACATAAAACTCATTCTTTTGGATTTCTGGAAACATTGTAAAGAATTGAGTAAGGAATTTATAGAGATGGTCTCCCACTTGGTTTTGGTCTGTTACGTAATCACCATCAGTGAAACTAAATCCAGTTCCAACAGGATTGTCTATATACAAAACTGAATGGGTCTTGTGCCAGGAGAAATCACGCGACACCACTGTTCCATTTGCTACTCCAAAGGGACCAATTTCAACAAAAAGCCCATACAAACTGGTACCTCCAGGGCCACCTTGCAACCAAACTAAGACAGGATCTTCTTCGTAGTTATTTTCGGATTTGAAAAACCAGAAAAATAAATTTCCATTTTTCTCCTTGTCGACAGTCAAGAAGCCAGAGTAACTGGAAACATTTTTAAAAGCTTCGAGGTTTACTTGAGCAGCTTCACGTGCCTCTTGGATTTTATTTGCTTCTAGATAGGGGGTTAGAATTAATGGTTCTCCAACGTCTTGTAATAGGGGCTTGTTTAGTGTTGGGGATTTTTTTAGGTTTGGAAATCTGACTGAAGCTAGGGCTGATGTCATCAGGCAGAGGACCAATAGGACCTTCATTCTATAAAAATTTGTATTTTTTTAGTTATAATAGCTTGAGATAATTTTACGAAAGGAGGAGATATGTTTGATATACAACGGTGGGATTTTTAAAAATTTCGTTCATTTTGCTACTGCATAATCAGAAATACAGGGTGTCCTTAGATAAACTGAAACATTTTGCAGGTAAATATCTCGAAAACGGGAAAAGATAACGAGATGCGGTTTGTTCTGGGAGAATGAGGATTTTTTAAAGTTTTTTTTCACATTATTTATTGCCAAATCCTAAAATTTGCTGAAATTTGGTTTTACAGACATGCGATTATTTGAAATCAAATTACTACCCCATTTTTAATGAAACACCCTGTATATTTTGTCATCGTCAGAAAGCCTGATTGTTCTACTTTACAAAAATGTATAATTTTTTTAATTATCTTGAACTTGCATCGTGAAAATTGCAATTTGTCGAAGAGAATATCATCGACTGGCTAAAAAAAATTGATAATTAATTTGTGCTTAATACTTTTATTAACTAATTAGCGCATAGTTAACTAATAATACAAGTATTAAACATAAATAAATAAATAATGCAAGTCCATACATATTAAACACAAATTAATTATTATCTTTTTTTTTTTTGGCCAGTCGATGGCACACTCTTAAACAAAGTGCAATTTTTAAGGTTTCAATTTCAAGATATTTGAAAAAAATTATACATTTTTGTAAAGTAGAAAAGTCACGTTTTAAGACGGTGACAAAATCTACCAGGCGTTTCACCAAGAATAAGGCAGTATGTAAATATTTCGAAAAATCGAGTGTTTGTAAACCCAAATTCCAGGATTCGGCAATACTATGAAAAAAAACCTAAAAAAATCCTTATTCTCCCAGAACAAACCGCATCCCGTTACCTTTTTTCGTTTTCGAGATATTTACCTGCAAAATGCGTCAGTTTATCTAAGGACACCCTGTATATGAGATGAATACAGCGCCATATCTACGACTTTTGTAAGGGTATTCAGTTAAAATAAAATACATCGCAAGATTAATAAGAATAGGACTCACCTTGAGCGATATTTGGAAAGCACTAGTGAAATAATTGAGTCTCTGGAACACTTATATATAATTGAGAATAATAGATAGGTACCTACATATCTTATCTAATTGTGTCGCCCTTCAAAATGTTCTAAGTTTGGCATAATTGATAACAATTTGAAGCACCAGACGTGCTTATTATGGATAACTATATCCATTTTCCACCCAAAGGGAATTCTGAAAACTTTAAAGTTTTTGAAGACTTTCAAGTCTCTAAAGAATCAGAAGACTTGAAAATATGTTGGGGCCTATCATTATCTAATAAAGAGTTTGAAAATTCTAAAAGCCTTGAAGACCACTTCTGTCTCATCACAAGCGATCTGTCAATAAGATATAAAGTACTTCAATGCCACCAGTATAGTATTCCAAATTTCTATCGACATTAAAAATACTAAATACTGAAAACATCGAATTTTATCTACTAGGTAAAATGCATAGGTATTTGGATCACCAATACTTCAATGCTACACGCATAAGATACTACACATCTTATCTAATTTTGTCACCTTTCAAAATGTTCAAAGTTCAGCATAACCGATAACATTTTCAATTACCAGCAGTTGTTATAAGTGCTGATCAATAATAGATCTATAGTGTTTTGGTACTTAATGAAGTTTTGATTGGAGACTAAAGATTTTAGTTACTTAATCAAGTAAGTTACAGATACTGAACTGTCTGAAAACTTCGTAAGACACTCTGGGTTTTTGACAAATAAAACAATTTCACATATAATTCAATTCTATTTCACACTATAGCTTTTCCTCTAATAAATTTATAAACCAAATCGTACGCAGCTTCTGGTTGATCTGCAGCTACCATATCGCTAGCGTTTCTAACCAAAACCTCCGTCAAATTTCCAGCAGTTTTCACATATCCAGCAATTCGACCGCCTACTGGCCAAATTTTCCTTTCAGCCGTTGCGTATTCAGCACTTGAACTAAAATTCAAATTCTGAAGATAGTTTACTGTTGTTGAATAAGGGACACTAACGTCCAGTTGGCCGTTGAATATAAGAACTCTGTAGTGGCTTAAGAGTTCCCTAACCCAAGGAGCTACACTTTTCGGGATATCGTCGTAGAGGCCGAAATAAACGTCATCGCTGTCACTTGCGAACGTTTGATTTCCTACATGGATGGCTTGTCTCACTTGGGCGGTCTGAATGTAATCTTGCCACTCTGAGGGCACGTCGTCTGCATCGGAGATAAAATTGTAAACATCAGGCAATGCAGTGTATTTTTCTATTAGTTCTCCAACAAGTTGGTAATAGCAAAAACTTGCAAGCTCATAATATCCAAAATCTATACTTTGAACAGCTAAACTATAATAGTTCTTGTAAAGATCAGCTGTTTTGCTATCAATCAGACCTAGCTGATAAAGTAAAGGTCCATAGTTGAGTTGATGCTTTGGATCACTGAGGCCATTACCAATTAATAGACCTTTCAAATTAATTTTTAAGCTTGCTGTTGGATTATTTTCATGTATGGTGTGAGCAATCGCAGGGACGTATTTACCCGCATAGGATTCTCCCGCTACATAAAACTCATTTTTTTGAATTTCTGGAAACATTGTAAAGAATTGAGTTAGGAATTTATAGAGATGGTCTCCCACTTGTGTTTGGTTGGTGAGAGAATCACCATCAGTAAAACTGAATCCAGTTCCAACAGGATTGTCTATGTACAATACTGAATGGTTTTTGTGCCAGGAAAACTCACGTGGAGTCACTTTTCCATTTTCTACAATAAAGGGACCATGCTCCAGGAAAAGCCCCAGCATACTGGCATCTCCAGGACCACCTTGCAACCAAAGTACGACGGGATCCTCTTCGTAATTATTTTGGGAAGGGAAGAACCAGAAAAATAAATTGCTGTTATTCTCCTTGTCGACATTGAAGTAGCCAGAATAACTGATGGAAATATTTTTGAAAGCTTCTAAATTTACTTGGGCAGCTTCACGTGCCTCTTGAGTTTTATTTGCTTCTAAATAGGGGGTTAGAATTAAAGGTTCTCCGACGTCTTGTAATAGGGGCTTGTTTATTGATGGGGATTTTTTCAGTTTTGGAACTTTGATTGAAGCTAAGGCTGTTGCCATCAGGCAGAAAACCAATAGGACCTTCATTCTAAAAAAAAAAATATGTTTTTTTTTCAGTTATAATGACTTGAGATAACTTTACGAAAGGCGAAGATATAACGTTTTTTATATACGAAGGTAGAATTGTTAAAATTTCGTTCATCAATGGAAGAATTTTGCCAAAAATAGATGAGTCAACTTTCGTAAATACAACGTCATAAGTTCGACATTCGTTTCAGTTAAAATGAAACACATGGCAAGGTTATTAAATAATTTCTAGAACTCACCTTGAGCGATATTTGGAAGGCACTAGTGGATAAATTGAGTCTCTGGTATACTTATATAAATGAAATATACATCTTATCTAATTGTGTCGAATTTCAGAATGTTTGGCATAATTGATAACAGTTTCAAGTACCAGTCGTGCTTATTATGAATACCTAACAATCAATTTTACATTTAAATTATTTTTTCTGCTCCAAGAACGTTTGATACTTAAGTTAATTTCAAGTAGAATTAGAACTTTAAAGATTGTGAAGTTCCTAAAGACTTCGAGAATTTAAGACACAACACTAAATATTATCCGTTCACAATCCGATGTCCACTGGTACCGGTAAAATTTATCACCTTTCAATGCTATTTGATAGGGAAAAGTGATAAAATGTACCTGCACCTGTGGACATCGGATTGTGAACAGGATATACTGGATACAAAAAACGAAATTCTGAAAACTTTGAAGTTTCTGAAGAATCAGCAGACCTGAAAAACCTTTCGGGCAAATCATTATCTAATGAAGACTTTGAAGATTCTAAAAGCCTCGAAGACCACTTCTGGCGCATTCCAAGCGGTCTGAGAATAAAATATAAAGTACTTCAATTCTTTGACGTCCGTAATCATAGTTATGCAAAATTCTATCGACATCAAGTGCGGCTAGATTGACAGAAACTTTAGATTGTTCCAATGTCAATATGATATTGTTTTTGTGTGACATAATCTGAGGCTATTATTTACTAACAAGGACTTGTTCACGCCGCACTAAAAATACTAAATACTGAAAACACAGAACTTTTAAAAGGTTGTTGAGATACTGGTTCTGATGGCGTTTTGTGAATTTGTCAAATAAAACCATTTCGCATATAACTAAAATAGTATATTATATACGTAGGTAGAGAAGTTGGTCATTATATACCGAGCGCTTTTTTTGTTTATGTTTATGTTTATAATGCGTAAGGTATACCGGGTGGGGCACGAAAAACTTTCCACCCAGGTTTTCTCAGGTGTTAATAATAATAATAATAATAATAATAATAAAAGCGCCAAAGACGCATATATCTCAAAAATAGCATCAAATTGGATGCAATATAGAGCATAATTACATATTTAGAAATACAACTTTATGAATGGTTAACAAAATATTCAATACTAGACAGTACATTTACTAAATGGTAATGCACAGCACACCACATCTATTTTGAGATAAGGTATAAATATTCATAACTAGCTAATGACCCGCTGCGTTGCCAGCGTGTAAATAAATTTTGAAATAATACACTTCTTTTCAAATTTTGTTGTTGATTTTCTATTTAATTTTTTTTTTTTAATCCGATATCAGAGTCGCTTGCCAGTGAGTTCAGTGACGCATTTTAAGCACTCCAGAGCTGCTCTAGAGCGCCCCGAGCTGTTTATAGGCGTTCCAGTGTATCAGAGTTTTACGCAACCGAACTTTTTTTTTCGGGATAAAAAATAGCCTATATCACTCTTCTCTATAGCTGATTCGATTGACCGGATTAGATCGATCTGGTTCAATTTAAATGAACCACACTGTGTTCGATTCAAGCTGGATCAGTGCACCCTCATCAACAAAAAAATGATCCAGATCAGAAGAAGTTCACTTAAATTGAACCCAAATCGATCTAATCTGGGTCAGTCGAATTCACCTTATATAGAGATTCGTGGTATTAATTCAAGATCGGTCCAGCCGTTCTTGAATTCAAAAAATAATAAAGTTACGTCGGTTGAATGCAAGCCTAAAGAAATGAAATATGTTGTTATGTAATGTGAATGAGTTTGTTTACAATTAAATTAATAACTAATTCAAAATTAATTTCTTTTTCCGAGATGCGTAACCTATCCACAAACCTTCCTTGGGATGGCCATAATAACCTACCAAAGTTTCATCGTAATCGGATAAGTGGTTTTAGAGCGCATATCCGGATACCCCGTGAACTTTGATTTTTATATATATAGATTATAAAATTCAACAATAATTAACAATAAAATTTAACAACAAATTAATACTAATTTCCAAAACAAAACCAACATGTTTTAAACGATTTCATATTAAAAAAAGATATTATAATATTTACACACCACTTACCAGATAATAATAATTGTCATTCATACAATAGTTAATTAATAAATCTTTTCTAAAATATAAGGTATAATTGAGTAAAATTCTTTTAAAAGTATACATATATTATATTTAAATTCATTAAAATAATTTAGCAGTGTTTGTTTCAGAAAATATGTATAGCACGGTTTTTTAATTTATTAAAATATTTAGTCCTGAAGAAATTGTTGAAAAATTTCCAAATACAATTTTTCAACAATCTCTTCTGGTTTAGGTGGCCAAAAAAACAAATTCAGGTATAAGATTCATTCTTGCCTCATCAAATTTTAGTCAAAATTTGTGAAGAATAAAAATCGCATCTTTTTTGTATTAAAGGTACTAATGGTATAAAATTATGTGTGACTCTACCCTTTTCTGAATTATCCCATCTTTCTTGCCAAATTATATTTATTCCCTCCCTAATATGTAATTTTAAATGTTTTAAATTTTCTATTCCCCTTAAATCAATTAATTGTTCTTGAAAAGTTACAGGTCTACCAGTTTTATACAATCTCAACGTCAATTTAATATCCAATTCCAAATCAAGAGGAGGTATGCCTGCCAAAATTCCCGCTGCATCCGTAGAAACAGAACACCTTGCAACAATTCTACTGAATTTCCCATATAAAGATAATATTTTACTTTTATTTCTATAAGGTCTTAACTTTTTTTCCCAGATTTCAATACCATACGCAACTAATGGTACAATTGCACATTTATATATTGTTGTCAAAGATTCATGAAGATCTATTTGCCAAGTATTCTGAAATTTTCAATAATAATATAACTAGTGCAATGGAAATTATTGATAATTTTTGGGAAATTTGACCGAATGCATTTTTCAGTTAAAAACGCATGAGTGCAAATTTGTCGAAAATTATAAATATATTTCCATTGCACGAGTTGTATTTAATGAGAGAATTTCATAAATCAAAAATTTAAATTTTTTGTCAAAAAATGTCAAAACACCAGTTTTCGCACCAGTTAGTATGCAATTATCTGATAATTTGCACTAGTGCAAATTATCGCGTAATTACAATCTGATTGGTTCAAATCAACAATCAAAACATGTCAATTTATTGTTGGAATACCAGTTTTGACAGATGTATGAAATTCTCGTCTTAATGCCATAGTAATTTTTATTGCCTTTAAATAATTTTTAGATGTTCCTGAAATTTTAAATTTTTCTCAATAATTAATCTCAAATATTTATAATTATTAACTACTTCCAATAATTCATTATTAATTCTAATTCTGACATCCCTATTATGAACTCTTGATGGTGATTTGTTCATTAAAATTTTCGATTTGGTATTAGAAATAGTTAATAAACATGAATCTGCCCAATCTATCAATTCTTATACATTATTTGCAATATTCAACATTTCTCGACGTAAATCATGTTGAACAATAATTGCAATATCATCTGCAAATGCTAATATATTTATATTTTCATTAAAATCTCTATTCAAAAACCCATCTAATAAAATGTTCCATAATGTTGGACCGAATACTGAACCTTGAGGGCATCCCATAGATATATTTTTACTAATTTCGACTGTACCTAATTTATAATTTCTGTTCTATTTTTCAAATAAGATTTAATAATAGACATAATATTATGTGGAAAATTTTGTTGTTGCATATTTGAAAATAATTCAGGCCACCAGAGATTATTGAACGCTCAGGTGTTACGTGCTTAATCAAAAATCGCTCAGACACGTCAATTTTTGTTTTTTGAGGGACACATTTTATTGGTATTTTCACCCCCTACCTGTGAACCCCTAAGTGGGGGTGACAGGTACCCACAAAATTTTAAATGAAAAGGGGGGTCGAGTGATACGTCATTTGATAGCTATTTTCATTAAGATGATATCTCCGAAGTTTTAAGCTGTCGAAATGGCGGTCTATCAAAGTTAGGAAAAAATCAATGGAAAAATGCTGTGTGGTTTTTACCTGTTACCTACGCATAGGTGTGAGAGGTAAAAACTATACAGTTTAGATTATCGAAAAAAAGCATTTATACTAACTTTGACATGCCGCCATTTCGGCAGGGTTAATAGTAGCAACTTAGAACTTCGGGGATATAATCTCAATGAAACCAAATGACATATCACTCGACCACTCTTTCCATTTGAAATTTTGAGGGTACCTGTTACTCCCACTTAAGGGTTCACAGGTAGGGGTTGAAAATACCAATAAAATGTGACCCCCAAAAAACAAAAATTGACATGTCTGAGCGATTTTTGATTAAACACCTAACACCTGAGAAAACCTGGGTGGAAAGTTTCTCATGCCCCACCCGGTATAATGACTCCCTCTACCGAGGAATATATAGAATTTTTTTAACCACTGCTAGTAGAAAATAAAAAAGAGTTTTGAAATCTGTGCTCAAATTATTTTTTCTTGTCGAAAGTGCTGCTCTCTATAAACAGCTTGTAATAATTTCCTATAATATACATACAGTAACCTGTTTTTGTTTTTTTTTTTTTTTTTCAAATTGACAGTTTGAAATTGAAATTAAACCAATAGAAACCTGGTACGTCATGACAATATCCTTGCTTCATGAAGTCATTTTCATCATTGACCCAGATTTTTTCTTTATTTTCATTATCAACCTAGGGAGAGAAATTCAATTTTTTCCTTAAAAAAAAATAGATTGAATAATGACAACTTCTCAAGTTAGTAGAAAAAAAAATAATTTATTTTACACCTATCGCCTGTCCTCTAATAAATTTATAAACCAAATCGTACGCAGCTTCTGGTTGATCTTTGGGTACCATATGGCCAGCGTCTCGAACCATAACCTCTGTTAAATTTCCAGCATTTTTCACATATCCAGCTACTCTGTTGCTTACACTCCAAATTTTCCTCTCGGCCTCTGCGTATTCGGCACTCGAACTGAAATTCAAATTTTGGAGATAGTTTACCGTTGAGGAATAAGCGACAATAATATCCAGTTGGCCGTTAAATATTAAAATTCTGTAGTGACTTAAAAGTTCACTAACCCAAGGAGCCACACTTTTCGGGATATCGTTCGAGAGGCTCTCATAAACTGGGTCACTTTGATAATTGAACGTTCGATTTCCTACATGGAGGGCTTTTCTTATCTCAGCCGTTTTAACGAAATCTTGCCACTCTGTTGGGCTGTCATCCACATCCGAAACAAAATCGTAAATATTAGGCAATGCAGTGTATTTGCTAAACAATGTTCCAATAAGTTGGTTCCAGCTATAAGCTGCAAACTCATAATTTTCAAAATCTATACTTTGAGAAGTTAAATTTTCATAATTTTCATAAAGATCAGCTGCATTTTTATCAATCAAACCTAGTTGGTAAAGTAGAGCTCCAAACTTGAATTGATGCTTTGGATCACTGAGGCCATTACCAATCAAAAGGCCTTTTAAATTAATTTTTACACTTGCTGTTGGATTATTTTTATGTATGGTATACCCAATGGCAGGCACATATTTCCCTGCATAGGACTCTCCCGAAACATAAAACTCATTCCTTTGGATTTCTGGAAACATTGTAAAGAATTGCGTAAGGAATTTATAGAGATGGTCTCCTACTTGGGTTTGGTTTGTTACGTAATCACCATCAGTGAAACTAAATCCAGTTCCAATAGGATTGTCTATGTACAAAACTGAATGGTTCTTGTGCCAGGAGATATCACGCGACACTACTTTTCCATTTGTTACTCCAAAGGGACCTATTTCAACAAAAAGCCCATACAAACTGGTACCTCCAGGGCCACCTTGCAACCAAACCAAGACAGGATCTTCTTCGTAGTTACCTTCGGATTTGAAGAACCAGAAAAATAAATTTCCATTATTCTCCTTGTCGACAGTCAAGAAGCCAGAGTAACTGGAAACATTTTTAAAAGCTTCTGAGTTTACTTGAGCAGCTTCACGTGCCTCTCGGGTTTTATTTGCTTCTAAATAGGGGGTTAGAATTAATGGTTCTCCAACGTCTTGTGATAGGGGCTTGTCTTCTGTTGGGGATTTTTTTAGGTTTGGAAATCTAACTGAAGCTGAGGCTGCTGCCATCAGGCAGAAGACCAATAGGACCTTCATTCTATAAAAAAAATTATTTTTTTAATTATAATAACTTGAGATAATTTTACGAAAGGCGGAGATATAACGTTTTTGATATACGACGGTGAGATTTTTAAAGATTTCGTAGACTTATGGAATAATTTTGCTACTTCACAAAAACAAATTTATGAGGTGAATACAGCGTCATATCTTCGACTTTTGTAAGGGTATTCAATTAAAATGAAGCACATGGCAAGATTGATAAATAGTTTTTAGGACCCACCTTGAGCGATATTTGGAAGGAACTTGTGAAATAATTGAGTCTCTGAAACGCTTATATATCAATAAGAATAGTAAGATACATATCTTATCTAATTGTGTCGCCTTTCAAAATATTCCAAGTTTGGCATTATAATTGATAACAATTTGAAGCATCAGTGTTGAATAATTATCAATTTACTACTTAGAGGGCTTTTTTGTTTGGAGAATGTTTGGGAATTCTGAAAACTTTAAAGTTTCTGAAGACTGTTATGGAGCTGAGGATAAGAGGCAATGAAGATTACAAGGCAGCCAGTGTCGGACTGGGGGTCATTTGGCCCACCGGGCAAATGGTGAAGTGGCCCACCCTACCCAAACCCCATTCAATAGGTACTTATATATATTACTAGTACGGTATGTGCTTCATTACAGTAACAAGTGGGGAATATTGCCAAGACGAGGTCGTAGACCGAGTCGTGGAAATCACACGAGTGTTGCAATGAGCGTTACCGTACGTGGAATATACAACATTTTTTGTACGACCAAGATTTTTTTATTATGTATTCGAAATGGTTTTAATTTTTCTCAATATATTAGATTTTTAATTTTTTTCGAATAAATGAATTTTAAAAAGTGCCCTTTTTTAATAAAAATTAGTTACGTGATGAGCTCGTTACATCAGTAAGTACGATAGTACAACTTATTACGTAACTCAAACAGACTAAATTTAGTTACGTGATAAGCTCTTAGAGTGTGGGTCGTACATAAAAACAATTTTGATAATCATTTGTTGAATTTAGTACCTAGTTGCATGTAGACATAAGAAAAGTAGGGACCTAGGTACTTAAGGTTTACTCCACATACCTGCTTATATTTTGTTGTTATTTACCGATGTAGTATGTAGTTTGTAGTTGTGTATAATGTTATAATGTATATAAATTACTATAAACCCTGTAAGTATTGACAAGCGTGTAACATTAATGTACCGGGTGTCAAGTTATAAGTAGCACCCTCTCTAACTTTTTTATGTACGATCAAAAATAAAAATTAACAGGTGGTGGTACTTTATAACTTGACACCCTGTACACGTGTAACAATAATGTACACCAGCAACGTTTTGGTTAAAACGCTGGTATATCAAAAGTGTAACAATAACGTATTTCAGATGGGGGATTAACTCTGTTGACCTGTGGCCTAATTTCGGTATACAGAGCATCGGCGTAGGACGAATACAACTTACGGGGTAGAGGTAAATTGAAAAAGGTGTCACATTATGAAAAAATGGGGTTAGGGAGGGAAGGGGTTAAAATAAAACTAAAATAACAATTCTGAACAATTTATCTGGTCATTATACATCATAATATCATTTTGGACGACGACAAAAAAATTGAAAATATCTTTGGCGGCAAGAGTGTTGAGGGAATTCCCAGAAATCCAAGTGAAGAATATTTTGAAATACTTTTTGAAGATATTTTGCCAGAAAAAAATTTCAGGGTAACCCGAGATATCGAGGAGATTCCCAAAAATCCAATTTAATTTGAGGAGATTTAAGGAAATTCAGAAGATATCTGAAAAAATCCAGAGGAGACTTTGAGATACTTGTTAACGATATTTGTATCCCAAGAGGAGATATCCAAAGATATTTCAGATCCCAGGAAATTCAAAGAGAATCAAGTAAATTTGAATATATTCATGGGATATCCTATGAGATTCCTTATTGCGTTCAAAAGAAAGAATATCTGAAGATATCAAGAGAAGCTCCAACAAGATTCGAATATTCATGAGACGCTCCAAGAAGATTATAGAGATATATGAGGAGATCTTGGAAGATTTTGGAATACTTTTCGAAGAGATTTTGTATGCCAGAGAAAGATTTTATGATATCCAAAGATATTAAGGAGATTCTCAGAAATTCAAGTTAATTTGAGGGGATCCAAGGAGATTCAGAAGATATTTGAGAAGATATCTGAGAAGATCCAGGAAAGACTTTGGGATACTTGTTGAAGATATGTATATACCAAGAGTAGAAAATTTGGAGATATCCAAAGATATTAAAGATTTCAGGAAATATCAAGGGACTCAAGTAAATCTAGGAGATTGTTTATGGTGTTCCAAAAGAAGAATATCTGGGGATATCTGGAGAAGCTCCACAACGACATACTGAGGCGCTCCAAGAAGATTAAAGGGATATCTGAGGAGATCCAGAAGATTTTGAAATACTTTTTGAAGAAATTTTGTATGCTAGGAATAGATTTTAGGATATAAATTAAAGATAATATGGAGATTCTTAAGTAAATTTGTGGAGATCCAAATCCAAATCGACATTTTGCTATAGGAATTTTCAATGAAGATGATCATAAAGAAGCAATCATTACCTAATGAGTGCTGTAAATTATATAAATTTTGAAAAAATCGAAGAGATATGAATGCTGACATTCAACAGGCCATGATTCAGGTATTGTTTATCTATTAATGGCTTTTGGATTTCCTATATTCAAATTTAAAAAAAAAAAACAGAAATTCAAGACCTTGGAATAGACAGAAAATTGAGAAATAAAGATAGCAGATTTAGGAATACTTGAGAAAACATTGGTGAATAAAATTATTCTTTTTCCATTATTGGCTCTTGAATTTTTTCTTTCTATGTAGAGAAATTTCTATGTAAACAAAAGCTTAAATGCTTGAAATAGATAAAAATTGAGAAATCGGAAGAGGAAATTCAAGAATAACTGAAATAATAATGACGAGAAAAATGGTTCTTCTGAATTTTCCCTATTTGGAGAAGTTTGAAGAAAAAAGAAGTTCAAGAGCCTATGGAATAGACAAACATTGGAACTGAAGAATTCAAAAATAAGGAGAGAAAATTTTAAATTTTAGAATGATAGAGGAATGATGTTATAATAGACAAACATTGAGACAGAAAAATGAGAAATGGAGAAAGCAGATTTAGGAGAAATTGAATTTGGTCTTCCAACAAGAGCCATGGTTTAAGTAGAGGTAACATAAAAAAAACAACAGGATATATAATAGTATCTCAGAATTGAGGCTAGAGGCTAAATGTACTTCGGAATTTTTTATATCATATTCTCCACGAAGTCGGTGATGATCCGGGCATTAAGTCTTCCTTAACCCCTTTTTGAGTTTCTGGTATTGAAGGCAGGACAGATTGCTGTACTACTGCTTGATGCTACTTGTAACAGTGGGTTATTTCTTGCAATGGGGGATAGTTCTTCTGTTTCTAGAATCTCTGTAGAAGTAGGACTTGCAGAAGCATCCTCGAAACTTCCCTCAGTTGATGGATTTGTATTTGTTTTAGTATTAAAAAAAAATGCAGTCAGTTGTTGGCTGGATGCAGCAGCTTCTAATAATTGTCGTTTTCTCGCGATCGCTTTTTTTTCTGTATGTACCCGTTTTATATAACTTCCTCTTTTTTACCTTTCCGTTCTCGGACATCTAGGGCGTATAAAAATAAAAAAATAATAATAACGAGGGAGGCGGAGGTCGAGATTTTTAAATGATATTATTGTCTTAGAAGAGTGAATTTGTGAAGTTATCGTAATCAACAAACAGATAAACTATTTCAGTCATTCTAGCGTTGCTGATTATGCTGATTTTCGGAAAAACAGGGTGATTAACTTGCGAAAAACGAAAAGTTACTAAAGCATTTTTGCGAGTCAATATTTTTCTTTCTATATCTAAAATATCTACATACATATCAAGCTTCGAAGTGGAGGAGATGGAGGCCGTTGTACACATGTAAACACCCACCACATCGAAGTGGAGAAGACAGGGGCCCTTGTAAAGTATTTTAAACGCCCTTTGGGCGAAGATTCTAAGTGGAGAAGAAACAGGACATTGCAAACATGACTGTGGCTTCTTTTACAAATATACTACCCTGTCTCTGTATTTCCAAAAATGAAAAACGGTTATGTCAGTTGAATTCAAATTCACTGATATGCGGCGAGCGATTTCTACGCAACTTCGGCTTGAACTTTTTCAGAGCAGAAGGGAGTTGATATTGATAATTATGATAGTTGATTTTTTATAAGGACGGTGGATTACGCGAAAATATGTATGATTTGATGATCAATGGCGTAGGGAGTGAAATATTTTAATTTATTTTTATAAATATTCGAATGACCCACCTGTCGAAGACGTCATCTGGCCTACCGGGATTTTGCCCGGTTGCCCGGTGGGCCAGTCCGACACTGCAGCCACTACAGTAAAGATAAAAGAATTAATGGGTTTCAGGTCTGTGAAGAATCAGAAGACTAAAAAATACGTCGGGGCCCATCTTTATCTAATGAAAATTCTGCAAGCCTTGAAAACCACTTCTGTCTCATTCGAAGCAATCTGAGAATAACACATAAAGTACCTACTTCAATTCTTTGACGCCACAAGCACAATTCTATCGACATTAAAAGTACTAAATACTGAAAACATCGAATTTCATCCACTAGGTGAAATGCGTCTATGGAACACCAATACTTCAATGATATACGCATGAGATATACATCTTATTTAATTTGATCGCCTTTCAAAATGCGTTCAGCATAATCAATAACATTTCCAAGCACCAGCAGTTTTTATTATCAATAGATCTACCTATAGTGTTTTAGTACTTAATGAAGTGTCGATTGGAGTCTGAAGATTTTAGTTACTTAATCAAGTAAGTAAAAGATACTGAACTGTCTGAAGACTTCGTGAGACACTCTGGGTTTTTGTCAAATTAAACAATTTCACATATAACTAAAAAAACATATTTTATTTCACACTATAGCCTT